GCTTACGTTGGCGTCCTCGGCGTGAAGCGTTTTGGGGATGGATCCTAGATCCCCGCTACGACTCATCTGGGCGGGACGTTTTATGCCACCCCTTGCTCCCAGGCGGGGGTTCATCTCGTCAGGCGCGGCCGGGTCGCTCCCCTCCATCGTCTCGTCGGGCGCGGCACGGGCCGTCCCCCCTCCATCGTCTCACGGGGTGCAAGCACGGGCTGCTCCCCTCCATCGTCGCCTCAGAATGGCGGCGGCGAGTCCGCCCTCCCCCATCCACCGGTCCTCGGCCGCACGCGCCCGTCTTGGCGGCGGACTCGCCCGGCCTCCAGCGACCTCATCGATCTACTTCCCTCCGGCGTGGAAAGGAAGGGGCCCTGCGGATGGGTGGCCACTCGTCGGCGTGTCCTCGTCCTCCGGGGCGCCCCAATCCACGCCGAGCGGCTACCTCATCGTCATCATCATCATCGTCGTCGTCGTCGTCCTCCTTTGCTCACGTCCTCTCCCGATCCGTGCCTCTGCTTGATCGTTTTCGCCTTCTTCATCTCTTCCCTTGCTTTCTTGTCCCGCTCGGCCACGAGTCGATTCGCCGCCGCCATGACCTTGTCCTTGGCGGTGGGCTGAGGCTTTCCTTAAAGACCAACGCCCTCGGCTGGTCCCAACGTCATAAAGCAAGTGTTAAAAAATGGAGATCCAGGAAAAAAAAAAAAAGCACGGGAGAGGAGAGCTTTCTAATTCAAAGAATCCGAGGCTCGGCCGCATTGGGGGGGTGTCCGGGCACGGATACACAATGTCGAGGACCCACTGCAGAATCCTTCGTCGGCTCTGTCGCCTCTTTGATCTGTTGCGCGCCACTTCCGAGTAAAGGGCGCCTCGTCAAACAAGCACTTTGTCCCCTCGGCGATATCCGGACATCATCCGATGCGAGAAGCACGCGCCATCGAGGCGCCACCCTCCTAGCGTGGTAGGCACCGATAATCCCTGTCCCCTTTACACCCGACCCTTGTGGCTTGGAGGCGGAAAGAAGGTCGGAGATGTGTTTCTTGTCTTTGGTGCGGGCGCCCACCCCACGACTCGGAGCGTCCACAATAAGGCGTCCGAGATATACTTGGTGAGGTGGCTTTTCGCGTCATCCCTAACGTAAAAACCGCGAAAGTGCCATCCCTTGTTGGATGTCGCCAGACGCATGTATGGGTAACCCCTTCGACCGGGTATGGCGTAGATGAATCTTTGGCACACCCCATCGGCGCGTTCACGTCTTTCCTCCCAATCTTCCTCTTTGACGGACTAATGTTAAAGAAATACCGCCCACAGATCAAAATGGGGATCGATCCCTCAGAAACCCTCTGATGAGGGCAACAAAGCGCGCCATGTCTTTGAATCCCATTGGGAGTTAGATCTTTGCAGCTCTACCTCATAGTAATCCAACAGCCCCGAATGAATCTATGCACGGGTACCCGAATCCCGCTCATGGAAGATGGCAAAAGGCGACATACCCTTGGTGGCATGGCTCACCCTCGTCGCGCCAGTAGCAACCACTCTGAGCGGCGGACGGTGGGCGGAGAAGGCCACGGCGGACGAGGCCCTCCAGACGGGAGGTGATGCTTGATCTACCCCACAACTCCATTAAAGCGGTGGGGAAGGGCGGTAGCTTGAGCTTGGAACATCGAACACGAACCGAGCCGATCGACGGTGGTGATCTGCGCGCGCGAGAGGCTGGGACGATTGGCGAGATGTTTGAGCATAAAGGCGGGGGCGAAATCACGGAACCTTGGGGGCGAACCCCATGGTTTTATAGGGGGCGACGGACGCGAGAAGGGCAACCGTCCGCCTTGATCTCCGGGCCTACCACGCGCGCCACCGCGTCACGTCGCGGGACATGCGCCCGCAGTCCCTATCCTCTCACCCCAAAAATCTCGGCGGACGGATCGCCTTCCCCAAGCGAATCCGGACTCTCTACCCACCTAGGAAACGCAAGCCACAGAGGCTGTTCTTATTCTCTTTGGCCCACCTAGGGCCCGAAGCTCATTGGCCGGCCCAACTAAGAAAGGATCCGCGGACGATCCGAAATCAAGGGCAGAAGCACCAGTTAGGTCAGCCCCGAATCAGTTCCCAGCAAACGGGATGCCACGACCCACTCGGAAAAATGTCCAGTTGACGAAAAATTAAGTCCTTTAGCCTTACCCATGAAGGGACCGATATAACCCCCCGGGCGATTCTACTCAAATCACCGGGGGCTCGGGGCTTACACCCGCCAGGTGCGCTCGCGCGCACCCTCGACAAAAGTAACCTCGGCGAAATCAAAAAACACCCTCCGGTGGTTCTACTCGAATCACCTAGAGGCTCGGGGGGCTCTTGTCGGGGACCTAATACTGGGGTACCTCGGGAAGGTGGAACCAATAACCACCGAGCGTTAAAAACTTACGGGACGCATAAGGCGTTGCTTCACCCCTCACGGGAATGAGCAGGAGCTTGGTTCCATCTCTTTGGCGCCTTGGGGTGGGCTCGGTCTCGCCGAGGGTCGAGGATTAGTCTTCGTCTCGCCCGGACGCCTTTTGGACGGACTCGATCTCGTCCAGAAGGCCGAGGATAAACCCGACTTCGCTGGCGCCTTTGATGTGGCTCACGCCTCGCCCAGAGAGGCACAGGGCTAGTCTCCGTCTCGCCCGACGCCTTTTAGGCGGGCTCGGTCTCGCCCGAGGGGCTGAGGATAGACTCCGCCTCGCCCGACCCCGGAGGAGCAGGGTCGGTCTCGCCAGGAGATAGGGATTGGTCTCCGCGCCGCCCGATGGCAAGAGCGAGCCTCACTGCGCTCCATATCTAAAGATTGGATTCATCTTACGACCACTTCTCCCTGTTCCTTCAAGATGATAGAGACAGGGGCAAGACAAGACGTTCGAGGTCAATCGTGGCTCCAAGAACCATACCACGCACCTGGCGGAAAAAAGTACTGCCGAGGGGATGACGGGATGGCGCTTTAGGCCCTTCCAGCGCCTGCATGAGCCCGAAAGGTGTCACAGTGCGAGCTCTCCACCACACCAGAGTTGTAGGCGCCGCCTTCAGCTCTGGGACACGTAACCCGACAAAGATATCGACAACCGCTCACGCTCGAGAAAAAGGATTTGCTATCTCCACGAGCAGCAGATATTCCGTCCACCACTTTGTGGACCCAAGGGAGCGGCGCCCGCTTCCCGACCCCTCAGGTCCACCAAGACGAAGACCTTAGCCACTGGCGCTACTCCAGACCCGACCCGCGTCCCTCCGATGAAGACTCATAGGAACCGGAAAGGCGTCTTGAGCAAGGGTGGGGAGGCTCAAAAGTCAAAACCACTGTACTGCGGCCTATACCCTGCGCAGGGTAGCATTCTGTAACCAACCTGATATTCTACAGAGACATCGACAATATTGTAGGCGCTTATCTTCCTTCGCACTCATCAGAATGAAGAACCAGGCCGGGTAGACGTGAGTCACAAGACTAAGTAGAGTACGCATCCTAAAGCCCTCACCCTTGTAAAGCCAACCCCTTCATCTATACAAGGGGATGCGCTTCCTCCATAAAAAGGGGAGAGAAAAAAGATCGAACGATACGACTCTCAGATACACACAGTCAAGTTGTGTCGAAGCTCTTGACATCCCTTCAACCCTTCCATCAGAGATTTGGGACCAGTCCCTCTCTTGATCGTTTGTACCCCTTACTACAAACCGTTCACGGTGCTAATAACACGAGCAGCAACAAACTGGACGTAGGGACTTTCGGCCCAAACCAGTATAAATCTTGTGTCCTTTAGCGCACCATCCGAGCCTAACACGCATTACTATAAATTTACTTGCCGGTGCTTGTACGAAACACCGACAGATACGATGATTTCAGACAGCTCTGAAACTAGAACTGCTTCTCTGAAACTAGAACTGCTTCGTTAATAACAAATTCTAGTCCCAACAACTTATTGGGGCTTATACTCTTATGTGGTATGCACTACAATTGCTGGTAAAGAATGTGATCGAATAAGATGTCAAAGCCTCTCCAATTGCAAGAACTCAAACTAAATACATTGAGCTGGATGATCCACCCAATTTCCTGATATTATACTTATGCATAAAACCCCTTGCCCTTGGGGCATCAGCCCATTTGCCTGCAGCGGCGTAAATGTCAGATATCGGAACATGGCAGCCAGGCTGCTTTGTATTCTGTAATAGGCGCATATGAGAAATCTGGGTGTGTGGTGGTGTGTGTTTGAAAGAGCCCGCTCTTAACCCCCTTTCTTTATTCTTCTTAATCCAACAACACGCAGCTCTCCCACGTGTTTGAGGAATAAAAGGGTTGCTTTGTATTGAGGTAGAGGATCCTGCTCCATACTCTTTCGGCTATATCAAGTCTCTTATGCACTCGACAAGCACCTAGTAGCGCAACCAGAATCTTGACATCTGGGGCCATCCGCATGCCCCAAATCAGCTCCTCTGCCTCATCAAGCAACCCTGCTCGGCCAAGTAAGTCAACCATGCAACCATAGTGCTTGAGCTCCGGCTGCACACCACAAGCAGATGACATGCTCTGAAAGCACTGCCGACCCTCATCAACCAGCCCAGCATGGGCACAAGCTGTCAGCACACTAACGAATGTTATGTCATCCGGCCTTTTTTCTGACATTTTCATCTGCTCAAACACATCAATTCATCGCCGAGCATCACCGTTTATGGCCAGCCCAGTGATGAGTGCATTCCAGGCGGAGACATTCTTCTGGTCCAAGGAATGGAAAATTTTGGTAGCCATGTCTGTTCTCCCACACTTGGCATACATGTCTATGAGAGCAGCACCAAGATTGGAGCACCATCTTGTGCTTATCAATGAAGATGTGAGCCCACCTCCCTTCCTCAAGAGCAGTCAAATGTGCGCAGCATGCTCACCATGGTCACCTCATTAGGCGGATATCGCCATCGCTCTGCATTGTCCTGAATAGCTCAAGGGTTTGCGGCGTATCGCCCAGCCTGTGCATACCCAGAAATCATGCACGTCAAGAAAGCGACATCCTTCTCGGCATCACATCAAACAACTCCCTCGCACCATCCATCTCTCCATTCATCGCGTAACCCCGGATCATTGCATTCCATGACACAAGATTTTTGACCGGCATCTCGTCGAACATCTTCCTCGCCAACGGCAACAGCCCATGTCTTGCAAACCCCGTCACCATCAAGTTCCATGTGACGACGTTCCTCCCAATGGCTGGCATCCGATCAAACATCTCCCTCGCTACATCCAGCTCCCCAGCAGCCGCATAAGCTCCCACCATCGCGCTCCAAGATACGCCATTCCTATGAGGCATTTCGTCAAACACGCGCCTGGCGTTCCCAATCTCCCCGCACTTCGCGTAGCCAAAAACCACCGTGTTCCAAGACACCACGTCGGCGACCTCCGCGCACGATTCGAGCACGCCCCGCATCGACGCCGCGTCGCGGAACGCGGCGTACATCGCGAGCAGCGAGTTGACGACGAAGGTGTCGGCCAAGAACCCGCGCCGGGCAGCCTGGGCGTGCACCTGCGCTCCCGTGCGCGGGAAAGAGGGGAGCCTGGAGGCGGACTTGACCAGCGGAGGGAACGTGAAGTGGTCGGGGAGGTATCCGGACCGGAGTAGGGAGGAGAATGCGGCGAAGGAGAGGCGCGGGGAGGGGAACGCGGCGGAGGCGTGGATGAGGAGGTTGTGGAGGAAGGTGGCGGAGGAGGCGTGGATGAGGAGGTTGTGGAGGAAGGTGGCGGAGGAGGGGAAAAGCGGGAAGTAGAGGCTGGAGAGGGCGGCGGCGAGGTTTGGGTGTGAAAGAAGGTAGGGTATGATGCGGCGGAGGTGATCCGGGCTCCGGCAAATCTCGCCGCCGACGAGGAGGCGGCCGACGAGCGGTAGGAGGCGAGGTGGCGCCGGCATTTCCCTTTTCGCGGAGGACGGGGAGTGTTCGTTCGAATATTTGCAAGCTTATTGTCTCGATCGGCATCGGACGGCTGAGATCACGGTACAAATTACAGATTATAAAGAATTCATAGTACATTTTAAAATGAAGTGGCCAGACGAGTTCACAGATTTTTAAAGAAGGTTTTTGAATGGACCTCAGAATCATTCAAAAATCAATTTTTAACTGATCGGTGAGACAGCGACCAATCAAGGAAAATTAAAATTTGATCAATCAAATTGAAAATTAAATTTGAATTTTCAGATGAAAGCGACAGAAATACAATAGAGGGTTTTGCTTCTTGAGCAAATTCCTTCATTGTCGCTTAAACATATAACACTCCCTTCACTGCCATTGAAAATTATATGTTTCCTTCACTGCCATCCATTCTAAATTTCAAATTCCTTCATTGTCATTGCAGTCCAACACATAGACTTTGTTCCCTTGATTGCCATTCATACATATATTTTGTTCCGTCCATTGCCACTGAGGTAATGGAACGGCGTTAGAAGACTATCCCTATGTAAGTGTTGTACCGATTTTGCTCTCTTCCTGACAATGAAAACAGAGAAGTTTGCTCCCTCATCCCAAATCTTCTCGAGCTAGAACCCTAGATCCCAGGCTTGGTGAGCCTCGCCTGAACCCACGACGTGACGCGACGCCCGCCCCTGACACCGCCCGACGCGACGCCCCACCTCCGACCCCGCCTCCGACTCCGACTCCACCGACCCGACGCGACGCCCCGCCTCCGACTCCACCGCCGCGACGCCGGACCTGCCCCACGACGCCGTGCCTCCTACTCTCCTCCCCTCCTTTTCTTTTCTACAGGTGATTGAAGTTTGCCTTGATTTACTGGTGGGTTTTGTCCGTCAGATCTGTCGAACTTCGTTCGAATCGATCCCCGCCCGGTCTACAGCAGAGACGACGACTAATACGCTACTCCAGCTATTCGGATTTTATTTTCCCTGTTTGGAGTTCGTTCCCCTATGAAGTTGTCTGTCCTTTTTTCACACATGCGTGCGCAGAATCGTGATTATTTTTTCAACAATCCACAGAAACTGAAGACACAGGTGGTGAAGAAGAGTACCAATCCGGAATGGAACGAAGAACTCACGCTCTCTATTGAAGACCCTGCAGCTCCTGTCAGACTGGTATGCATACGCTTCCACCTTTCCTTTCCCAAATCTGTTGTCTGGGTTCTTTTGCCCCTACTCTTTCCAAACTCTACAAATATTCTGTACAAAGGAAGAAGTACTACTACTTTACTGCTAGTACTAGTTTATTACCAGTCTTACTCGATATGTGCAAGTGTCGCTGTTATGTGTACTAGAATCGATATGTGCAACCATGTTTCATACAATGTGAAAATCAGGTGTCTCCTGATATACTAGTAGTAAATGCTAACTCAGCCTGCAGTCACTACTTGGAGGGGAGTAATTATTTGCCTTTTATCTTTTCGCTGAATCTTACTGAATAACTTCCATATTATGGAAATTAACTTTGTCTATTCTTATATGTAACTGATCAATTGAATTGATGCACACTTGTAATTTGCATGTGCCAGCTAAATGTAATTCAAATTAAGCCATGTTTAGAATCTTTTAAGCTTCTTAGGTTGAGTGTATTAGTTTCCCGAGGCTCCCTGTGGTTTTGATATTTGACTATTTGAGTCTCAAATGGAAAGCCATGCCAATCAATCTTTCAATTAGTGCAGATTAGTGTTATTCTGGTTATTGTCCTGCATAAGAGCATATTCTGGTTATTACTGAATATTATTGATATTGATCAACAAATAGCAGTTCCTGTTTGCAAGAATATATATTTCTGATCTCTCGGGGTATAATAATAATATATGAGAAAACCTGTACATTGATAGTTTGATACAATTTCTTTAAATACCCTTTAAAATTCTAGACTTCCATTTGAAAGGTTTGTACATTCGTGGAGCCCATACTATTTTGAGAAGCATTGGAAAGCAATGGAGGAAGCTAAACCATCAGCAATGACGTATATAAGGCAGTGGCATACTAGGATATGGACAAGAAGTCAATTTGGGACCCATTGCAAGGTTGACTATGTCACAAACAATTTGGCAGAGTGTTTCAACAACTGGATAAAACAGTTTAAAGGGCTGAATTTGGATGACCTTATGGACAAGATCAGGCAACTTATTATGGATAAGTGGGATGTTAGAAGAACAGTATCAAGAAAGATTGAAGGACTTATTCTGCCACACATCATCAATAATTTGAAAGAGCAAAGCAGAAACTTGGATATGGATGTATAGAGAAGTAGGGATATTCTAGCTAAGGTGTCTGTCAAGGGTGGCAGTGGGTTCAAATGTGTTGTCAACCTAGATGAAAGAACCTGTCATTGTAGAAAATGGCAAGTCTCGGGAATTCCTTGCAAACATGCAATTACATTCATAACATCTCTTCGGGAACCTTTGGAGAAATATGTTGACATGTATTATTCAGTTCAGAAATTTAGAGCAGCATATAAGATTCTTATCCTTGCTATGCCTGACAAATCTCAATAACCACAATCTGACCATGGTTACTTTATGCATCCACCACTTATAAAATCTACATCTGGTAGAAGGCAGAACAAGAGAGCCAAAGGATGTACAGAGGCTAATGGCAGCACAACAAAGAAGAAAGGGTCACATCAATGCCCCATTTGCAAGGATTATGGACACCGCTGGTATAACTGCAAGGATGGTGACCCACTGACCCTATGCTAGCTGAGAAGGAAGCATTCTAATCTTTACTTAGTTTGACTTGTTATTGATTTAATATTGCTTCCTTTTGAGATCTCATTGATGTTTATGTTCATGCAGGGGGCCACCAAAAAGAAGGAAGAAAACAACTGAATGTGAGAGTAGCATTGTCCCAGCTGATCCAGGATCTAAAACAATGCATTTTCCTCCTAGGTATGCCTCCATGTACTTAGAGATCTGAAATTTAAATTCTGATTATTTTTCTAAAAAATGCATTTCATTTTTTGTATTACAGCCAAAATGCCTCGCTTATCTTAGATTCTGGAAACTCTCTCAAGTATATGCCCAATATCCAATGTCATTTGTTCTTAATTATAGCATTCTCAATATTATTCTCTAAAAGTGTAAAACTCACTCACATGCAGGTCTGGTAGTGGCTCAAACCAACCTGATACACTTTCCATTGAGTACCCTTTGTTCACTTTAGGTGAAACCACACCACCAGCTGCCATATCCATGCCTATAGTAGTGAAAAAGGGTAAAAGGAAGGCAAAGGCACAAGGGAAAAAGAAGCAGCAGCAAGTTACAACATCAACAGATAGTCCAGCAATGGGGACTAGAAGCAAGAACCCTCTAAGGCAAAGCCCTGCTGCACACACTAAAGCAAGAGAAAACTTCCAGATTTGAATTTGTAGTTCAAGCAACTCATTTGTATGGTCTGTAATGTCGTGCAACCCTCTTATTTTGCTTGATATATAAACTTATGGCTGTTTATTTTGCTTAGCAAGTATGAGCCTAGTTGAGAATTAAATGGACAACAATGGTTGCTTGAACATGTTATTTTGTTTGGTCTGTAATCTAATGAATTGCTAGTTTGGTTGGTAAACATTTGAACTAATGAATATCAATATATTATATGGATGTTGTGAACCATATTAAGTATTCTGTGAATATAATATTATTGTCATATTTCTATGCATGTGTTGAAATGTTATCATTTTTGTCACTGTATATTATTGATAGGTCTCCAATTGATTTGTCTGTGTTCTAAAGTTCAATGGCAACCAAGGGATTGTTATAGAGAAAATTTCTAAGGATAAGATTGTCTTTCACATGCTCATCTAACAGCAATCTCCCTGCATTGGACGGCAATGGCAGTGAAGGGATTTGAAATTTAGAATGGATGGCAGTGAAGGGAACATATAATTTTGAATGGCAGTGAAGAGAATGTTATATGTTTGAGTGGCAATGAAGGAATTTGCTCTTGCTTCTTCCTCTCATTTCTTTATTCTTCTTCCCTCCTCCCTCCATAAAATGGAGTTCTTCCCCTCATTTCTTCTCCATTCTTCTTCCTTCCTCCCTCCCTCCGCCCTCCTCCCTAAACAAGGAGGGGTTCAGTTCAAGGGGGACTCAATTGCACGGGACTACGGGAGACGGCAGGGGAGCTCAGTTCCGTCCGCCCAACCGCTAGATCCGCCCAGCTAAAAAGGCACAATATGATTGTAGGAACAGAAGAAAACATCGCAGCTCAGCATGGAATGGTACTCCTGGATATCTATAATAGCAGGGCAAAAATGCTCCTGAAAATAGGAGCAAGATACAACTGATTTACATACTTCAGAATTTCAATTATAAAAGTGTAAGCTACTTATCCCGTTTGACAATGACAACAGACATATATTCTGCTGGGAGGGTTTGGTACTTTAGGGTATCCATATTGCAGGAGAAAGGTAAAATAATTCATACTTATTTACTATGTTAGATGGATGCTAAATTCTGTCCCCAACCCCAATTATGTTCAGTTCTCAATGTTTGCAACTGACAAGCTTCAGTTCAGAGTTTGATTGCCTTCGCTTTCATGTTGGCCATGCCGTCTAGCACACTTGGCGACACTGTATCTTCCGCCATAGTTGATCTCTTGTGTGGCTTCCTCCTTGCATAGGTGTAAGCGAATTGACGAGACTCTTCAGCTTCAGCAACAGCCCTGGCAGGAGGTGACTCCAGCTTCATGCCATCATGGTGCTTGCGCATGGTTTCCCGCTGCTCTGAGACATTGTTATAAGGTGGGTATATCCCTGTGCCAAGGCTCAACATCTCTGAGACACTTTCAGCATTTCTTAAACTGTGCATTGTGGAGTATCCATTCATTTGATGACCATCACTGACTCTTGCATATGGATCAGGAGAACTTTGATGGACTATGATGTTTTGACCACCAAAGTTCTTCAAAAGGTCTTTCATGTGGGCACATTCTCTGGTGTCATATGCTTCAATGGAATATGCTAGACTATGGTTAGCTGCTGGTTGATAGAAGCCTCTCAGCATCATGGAAGGGTAAACTGCACTGTGCTCCTCTGGAACTGTCATTTGGACTCCAAGTGGGATTTTGCCCATCAGTGCATAAGGTTCTAGTGTACCCTCCCATTGTAAGGGAGTACGTTGTGAACTAGCAGACGTGCAATTGATTCTGTTGATGTGAGAAGAATTCTCAGGAAAACCATGAACATCATGTGCAAAAACACGAGGTGGAGTGCAAAATCTGGAGCTCTGTGTTCCTGGCTGACCAGCTCGAACCAGTCCAGGTCTATGATGTGTCCCTTCACTGCCATCAATAACAGAAGCACAACCAGTTCTTATTTTCAGCACACCTTTCGGTAGTTTACTACAATTTTGCCTGGGGTCACTGAGATGATGGAAGGTTTGACCTTCCAATGAGTTCATTTCTGCTGATTTGGCTACATAGGCTGTTTCACTATGTCTGGTTGAACAATGAGTGCTTAATGGCCCATCCGTAAGTTTGGCTCGTTTCATTGGTGATGAAACAGTGGCAATTTCATCCTTGATAGTAACTGGAGTGGTACTGCTAAGACTAACACATGGGAAACGCTTCTCATATACCCGCCTGTGCGAAATGGGAACCTTCTCTCCAAGACTAGCACTCGTACCAGAACTCCTTAACAGATTGCTCATGGATGCAAACTTGCCAACCATACCATCGTGGTACCACTTGAGGAAATGATAATGTCTCCGTCTTTGAAGCATCATCAGCAACTCCCTTGCCTGGGAAACTTGCGGAGAATAAAGCCCACCGTTCAATCCATGAAAAAAGCTTCTAAGTGGACTGCCAAAGAACATAGCATCGCCACTGAACAGCTCTTTCATGGTTGTGACGAAGTCTTGTTGGTCCATATCCGGGAGGTAGGCTGCTAGATGGAGTCTATCATCTTCCGTCAGGCATGAATTCCATGTATCCAAAGAAAGAACCTCTGTCAAGCCATGCAGATCATAAAGCCCATAGGGGATATTGCACATCTGACCTCTGGACGCTGCAAGCTCACAGTCCACTTCTACCTGCTCAGAGCCAAGAGATTCAGGATCAGGGAAGCTCTGAAGCAGCATTCTGTCCTCTCGTGTAAGGTCCTCATCTCCACAACTGTAACCACTCTTCGCTGCAGGCTCACGACTTGCTATCTTGACAATCCCCATTGGCTGAAAAGAGGTGGTCCAGTACTCTAATTAGATCAGATTTAGTCAAAGTTGAGGATAGTGAGCAGACTTTTGAGCATAGCACCACATTATCCAATAGAAGATTCCTGAGAGAGAACACATGAAAAACAAGGTCTTTGAGCACAGATATAGTCCAGCAACATATTTCACAGGATGACATGTAACATGTTATGGTCAGTGCCTACCAACAAGTAATGCATTTCAGAACCAAAATTGAAAGCTTTTTAATACTGATCACATGGCAGCATTGCGATTTTAATTAGGAACATATATGTAACCCATGGCAGTATTTCGTTTGTGAGCAAAATTTCCCATTTTATTTAGTAACTAAGCTAAAATTATGCACAAACGGTTCCACTAGAGAGTGCCAATGTAGCATCACTACATCAAAGCAGTGTAAGAGTAATAAGATCAGGATTAAGTGTAACAGAAGGCACTCTGATCTCCTAGCACATGAGGAAGGAACCAACCAAGTGAAGCGGCACAACTTTGTACCCATTCTATATTTATATGAATTTTCACAATGAAACAAGAGTCGCTGAATTTATGCAAGGCTAAAATTATGCAGAAACGGTTCCACTAGGGAGCGCCAATGTAGCATCACAACTACATCAATGCATTGGGTTTTAAGTTTTACCAAAATCTAGTCTGATCTCCTAAGCAGCCAACCAACTGAAGCGGCACAACTTTGCACCCAATCTATGCGAATTTTTCACACCGAAACGAAACTCGCTGAATTTCTACTGCAGGCGTCCATACTCCATAAACCACGGGAATCAGAATCACCACAATCAGGCATGCCAATTCCGCAACGAGCAAAACCTAACAATCATCACGCGACGGAACGCAATCCGCCGCCGCCGAGGTGACGCCAATCGAAACCGCCCGCAGCTGCAGGCAGGCAGTTCCGGGGCCGGAAAAGCAAAGGCCCAGCGCGGCCGCCGGCTACCTCCCCGAACTGAAGCCTACCACCAGGCACCACTACCACTACCAGCAGCCGGATGAACGATCGATCGATCGGTTACTCCACGGCGCGGGAGATCGAGGGCGGGGTGGGGGAGGGGGAGGGTGCTCACCATGCCGTGCGTGTACGCGCCGGGGATCGGATCGGGCCGGCGTCGAGGAGAGGCGGTCGGCGAGGATGGATTGGGGAATGGAATGGGGGGCGGAGTGGTGAGGCGACGGGTGCGCTACTGCTACTGCTACTGTGCCGCCGCGCTGTTGCGGTGCAGTGCAGTGCAGTGCAGTGCGTCTCTTTGGCAAATGAGCAAATTGCTTGCTTGCCCCTGCTGCCATTCTGTCCGACTCCCGCGGCTTCTGCGCGAAACCCACGCGGGCGGGCGGGCGCAGCGCACGGCCGAAAGCGCGAGGATAGTGGTGCCACCTGCCTGCTGCCTGCCGTCCTCCAAGCTCCAGCTCCGCGCAGCAGCTAGCTACGTAGCGCCTAGGCAGCCGCAGCTTTGCCGGCAAGTGCAGCAGCGGCTGGCGCCTGCTGCTTTTCGTCGCTCTTCGGTTGCCTCTTCTCTTTCGTTGTCGTTGCCATTCCTTGCTCGCGCAGGATTTTTTGCGTCTACTAGTTGAGGAGAACATCATCTGCGGTTTAGAGCTTTGATGAGCTAGGAATCGCACTACTAGTAGCATATTTTCTTTCTTTTTGTTGGCGAATTCCTTTCGAGTTTATCGTTTTTTATATATAATCAGGCCGGCATTTTTTTTTGGTCTGCTAGTAATTAAGCTAGCATTTGTTTTGTGAGACCGACTCCAACAGCGTAACCCATACCTGAGACCCATTTCACGGTTTGGGTAATGTACAGTAAAAAACGTTGCATCCCCATAGCTTCGCCTCTCCAACAGAGGAGCCCCAAATCCTTGCCACGGTGCTGCCCGCCATGGAGCCTTTCGCGACACCGGCATTTCGTGGCCGGCGGCGGCGCCTTATCCTCCTCCTGAGCTCCACCAGGCGGGGCGGGACGCGGACGCGGAAGCTCGCGCGTCGCATGGCCGGCCGCCAGTGTTCACCCTCCACGGCTCCACCCGCCTTCCGCCAGCCACCACCGTGGCAGGCCGGCAGCCAGCACCTCCCCACCGCCCCCCCCCCCGATAGCTCGACTCAGCTCGTCCCCTCACCGGGCCGCCGGCTCGCCCCGACGCCCCCTGCTCCTTTCCCTGCTGCCTCCTCCCAGCGCGAAGGAGCCGGCCACCGGCGGCCAGGCGGCGCCCCTTCTGTAGCACCCCTCCGGCATCCGTGTCCCGCCGACCGGCCCTCCCCCTCGGCGGCTTCAAGCAAGGTGAACACCTAGATCCATTCGTCAATGTATCCATGGCGGCGCTCGTCAACTCCTCCCGCGGCGGCCACCATCGGAGATTTGCCTACTGAGGAGAGAGGAGATGCTTTTTTGCGTATCGTTTCCGTCGGCAGGCAAAATGGGTTGGACGTCTGGGTGACCCGTTGGAGAGCGTTTTTGGTAGGCAAAACTACTGTAGAGGACGTATTTTGGGTTTACATTTCATTGTTGGAGACAGTCTGAGTGGCTAACCGAGCAACTAGCATTGTTCTCTCCGGTGTACTAGTCAGTAGTCACTGACACACAATGTTCATCGGGTTAGAAAAACTTCGGCGCAGAAGTTGTGACATCATAATATATCTTCCTTCGTTCATGACAAATCTAACATGACAAAATTTGACAATTTCAACCGAATCATGTATGTGTGAATTGTGATCAAATCAAATTCCGCATGTTGGCGGTGTGCATTTTAAGATGGTATTTTCTTTGGTAAATGAAGTTTATTTAAAAAATAATAGAATTGCAATGTATAATATAAATCAACTATTTGACCAAACCTACCTAATACCATAATCTTCATAACAAAAACTTGGGTTCAAATCATAACAAAGTTGTGAAACCGTAAATCTATATGTTCTTCGTTCATGAAAAATCTAACAGCACAAAATTTTATAAGCTCAACCAAACAATGATCAAATTCTGCTTATACAGGTTGTGTGCATCTTAAAATAGCACTTATCGTTTACGGAAAAAAATAGAATTGCAATGTATACTATAAAGCAACTACTTGACGCAAATCTAGCTAATACCATAATTAGAATTTTACCTAACATAATTAGAAAAATGATAAGAGGCAGTCAAACTTGACAAGGACACTTTATTAAAGCTGCAGTCAGCGATTACTAGTAGATCTACTACGTACTCTCTCCATACTAAAAAATGAAGTTGTCTTGGACAGCGACACGGTCTCCAAAGCATAATTTGACTACTTATTTTTATAAATATATTTATCAAAAAGTGATATATGTAAATTTTGTGAAAGTATTTTTCAAGACAAATCTATACATATGGTTTTCATATTTCCAAACTCAACAACTTAAAAGTTATTTATGATTTATATTTCTAATGTTTGACCCAAATTTTATCTAAAAACGACTTTATTTTTTTTTTAGTATGGAGTGAGTACCAACTTTGTCACGTTGATAGAGCATGGAAGATAGATGTAGGGTTGGTACTTGGTACAATGGCACTGGTGAATTTTCTTTCACCGCTCTAGATGATATATCTCTTTCCTCTTTATCTGGTTTACTCTTTCTCGCGCCTTTATGACTATTTTTACTTTTCCTTTGCTTATTTGGCTGGCTTTTGACAACGAAATGAGCTTTTGGACTTGGAAATGTCAATGGAGTTGTACCGTACATTCAGTTAGGACGAACGCTCCTTGGAGCGACTAGCAAGTCAAGTCAGTAGGTCATTCCTCCAAAAGTCTTTTCTTTACGGAGGTCTTGTTTAGATTGCCTTAAAATTTCAAATTTTTTCACTCTCTCTTCATCACATTAATTTTTGGACGCATGCATGAAGCATTAAATGTAGGTAAAAAATAACTAATTACATAATTTGGTTGTAAATCACGAGACGAATCTTTTGAGCCTAGTTAGTCCATGATCGGACAAAGTTTGTCAAATACAAACGAAACATGCTACAATGTCCAGATTATAAAAATTTGCAATCTAAACTAGGCCGTAAAATGTGCCGGAAAAGTCAACTCAATTGAAAAAGCGTGCAGAGGGACCCATATCCTTGAATCCTGCGCGGTATGGCGACCTCCAACCGGCGGCATAGAAAATGTGAGGGTTTTAATCTGATAGTCGTCGTGTCACTGACGACAGAAAGAATCGTCGATTCTCGCAAGGTGTTTGGCAAAATTTTCTTATTCTCATGGTGAGACGGCTGCAAATCCTATTATACGCAGTTCCAAACATGTTTATCTAGACATATCTATACGTAGTAAAAACTATAGGGATTTTTAAAAAACTATCTATAGGAAATTTGGTGTTCTTACCCCTATTTTAGACTGCAATGGTGATTTTACCACTGTTTTTTAAAGTTTGTGATTTTACCCTCGCAATTCTAAAACGAAGTCCCATTTACCCTGTTTTGTGACACCGTTAAGTCTGAGCTGATTAAATGGCCAAGAAAAAAGAAAATAAAAGAAACCTACACAAAAATACCATAATGCCCTCGTCTTATCATTTTCCCTGGTTTTCTCACCGCTTCGTCTTCTCGGTTCTCAAACACGGGGAGGCTAGAGTTTCATTCATCCATGAGCGCCAGCCTCCTGCGGCGGATAGCAGACACGGCACTCCGTCGACGCTCCGTCGGCGCTAGGGACGCGTAGCCTGACCCAGCGGCGCGCGGGAGGGCGCGAGGCCAGCCCCCGGTGGCGTGCGGGATGCGCATGGGCATGGCCAGCCCCTGCAGGCGCGCGGTTTCATTTAGAATTTGGTTGCACTTCCATTTATGTAATGGGTAAAAGCAGGATTAATCACCTTGTCAAAATTATAAGTCCACTTGTCCATTTTGTGATCTTTGTTTCTTTCAACAGGATCAGGAAGCTTTGGGAAATCCAGGTTGTGTTAGCACTTTCGGTGGCACTAGGCCTTTTAATGGTGCTATGACGATGACAGCTGAAGCAGCTTCTTTCGGTGGCACTAGGCCAGGGAGGCGCTCGGAAAGCCCAGGTGTGTTCCTACTTTTATTTGAGATGTCAAAACTCACTGCTAGTTAATGTGACTTGGACCTGTAAGCCTTTGTGTTCCTACTTTTGTTTGACATGTCATATAGATATGTTGGTATGCCATCTAGACATAGTAATGTGACCTGGTATGTTGCCATTAATGATATATGTCTGATATTAATTTGTGTGATGTGAATTTGTTGTGTGATACTAATTTTTAGTTGAAAGTTGATGAAATTGTTCTGAAATTTACCGAGTTTGGCACTGATTGAATTGTCTAATCCATATCAAATTTGGCTAACTATTGAACTGAAAAAGCAAAATAAAATAGGAGCAAAATTACATGGGCAAACTTGTCCATTTGTCTAAAAGTTAACACCGTGAAGGGTACTTCACGGAATAGGGGCAAATTCTCACTTTGTTTTGAAAATGCAGGAGTAAAATTACAAAGTTAAAAAAAGAGCAAAATCACCATTTGATGTGAAAGTAGAGGTAGAAACGCTTAAACCTTAAAACTATATACCTAAAAAAGTCAGAACGATTTACAATCTGTAACGGTGAAAATATATATACGTAACAAAATCACAGCAAGTGAGGCCAAAGCCCATTATGGCCCTATATAGCTCTGCCAATGGGTCAGGAGTAGAAAAGACCAACAAAGTTTACAAGCAGCCTCCGGCTGGTAATCGATAGATTACCTACAAGAGGGGGGTGCGGAAGCCAATGAGTCTACTTATCCTCATGTCACGAACTCTCATCTAGCCTATCCATGAAAAAATTCCAAAATATATATTGTAACAAAATATTACAACGAAATCCATATGTCAACTGAGATGAACAAGTGACAAATAATGAGTCCAAGTTAAGCCATGCTTTACTATATGGTTCACTTGGCATAGCCGAGCTTTGAGATCCACGCAAGATTTAGAGTTTGAAAGGATAAAATAAAGTGATTTTTGGAAGTAAAAGGAAGAAGCTCTGCCACCCAATTAAGTAAGAGAAAAAGATTTATGTACACGTGACACTGGCACCCGCTGTGCCAAACAAATTGGTCCTAGGACAAAAGAATTACACGTCAGTCACTGCTAGTTCACCTCTCCAGCCACAGACATTACCCTATGTCTTTGCATTATGTCCTCCTTGGTCATGGAGGCCACCTATTGCGCCGTCTTGTGTACATTTTTTAAGATTCTCTTATTTCTCTCCTTCCACAAGTTTCGTAAAGTGTAAATAAAAACCCCATGAAGAAAACTAAAGTGATTTGAATTTGAACATATGTATTTTGTCCACAAAATTGCTCAACAAAATACTTTCAACGTGCCCAAAGTTGTAGCTCTAAGAATTTTTAGAGCTAGTGTTGACATAGAAATTCTTGGAGTTACAGACGCTTTGGGATCCACACGCGATTTAGAATTTTTAGGACAAATGAATGAAATGGTTTGAACCTGCGTCTCATCAAGCAGATGGCAAAGTCTCCAAGGGTGGAGCTGCCGGTCCGGGGTTCGAACCCCGGCTCCCCACGTTGGTCTCCAGGAAGGCCGCGCCCAAGGAGGCACTTATTAAAAAAACTGATAACAAAATTTCTCAACTAATTATAGATCAATAAATTCTGATGGTAGAGATAACCAGCACCATTTTTTTTTGGAATAATCCTAATTGACCCCTAAACTATTAAGGTTTGTCCACTTAACGTCCCCTTGAACTATAAAACTAGGTGCTCTATTCTCAATTCCATCAAAATCACTAGTGTATATCAGATACAAAGAGAGGAAAAATGAAGAACATGAATGGCATTTAAGGTCAGACCCGCATCACTAAAACCACCTTAATAGTTAGGGGGCTTAACTAGACTTATTGTAAAAAAATCAAAGAACTTGGCACTGTGTCAAACAAGTCTTAAGTGTTTGTTTCCTCTTTCGATGAGAAGGACACACAATATTGCATTCGATAATGCTACAAACAGGACGTCCGACGCCAGCGACTCCCTCTGGACAGACGCGTGGCGTGACGTGCACCACAACTTTGACTCCCTCCGTCTCTTATTCTCATCCAAACACCGACCGCTCACTCCACTCGGCCTTCTCCCACCGCTCCCTCATGACCCTGCACCGCTCGTTCGCTCCTCGCTCCCGTCTTTGTGCGCGCGCACCCTCCACGCTTACTCATCGCTCGTCCTCCTCCTCCTCTTCCTTCCATCGCACGCCCCCACCGTGCACTTCTCGCTTTGGCCATATGCGCCGTGCCGCCTGCGCTCCTCTCGTAGCACGCTGGCCCACCAGTCGTGCCAAGGCAGTGCTAGTGGTGGTGGTGCTTTCGCTTGTCTGCCGGTGTCTTTGGTGGTGCTGGTGGTGCTCGTGCACCGCCATTGCGCCCTTGACTCCACGGCCATTTGGAATCGACCGCCCGTGAGCTTCTCCTCTCCAATGTTGCAAATGTATGTTTTAGGTGTTTCTGTCGTTTCGAAGCTATGTTGCAGTTGTTCATTATGGATGTTGCAAAAGTAGATCGGGATGTTGCATATGTTGCAAGTATTTCAGGGGCATATTGCATGCGTTGGTTCAAAATGTTTATCTGTTCCATACGTATGTTACAAGTGTTTTGATCTGGATGTTTGTATATGTTTCACACATATGTTGCAACAACATGTTCTATATGTTTCATCTGTTTCAGACGTATGTTGCAAGTGTTCTATCTGGATGTTACATATGTTACAATGACTATATTGCAAGTGTATGTTCCAAATGTTTAATCTATTTCAGTCGTATGTTGCAATTGCTTTATCTGAGTGTTGCAAAAGTAGATCTCAATGTAGGGCTATTTAGCGAGGAAGAGAGAGCTAGTGCGGGAGCCATGGCGGCGTCAGCTGTAAGCTGGCGGCAACGCTCCACCGGAGGACGCGCAGGCGTCTGCGCTGGCGCACACGGCCTGTTCCTGTACGACATGCTGCCTCTGCTGGCCCCACCAGAGGTCCTAGAGCCGAAGCTTGTGGCATCTCCCCGCACGACGGAGATGCAAACCCTGGCTATGGAGGTGACGCGGGCGCAATGAGGTTGGGACCCCCTGCGGGCGCGGCGAGCGGGTAGGCTCCCTTGTTACGCAGGGAACGGGACAGGGTGCGGCGGAGCTGCGTCCGGACGTAGGCCTGGGGCCGGACGTCGGGGCGTATTACATTGGCAAAAAAAGGAACCGAAAAAGACACACCGTGCTGCCACTGCCTAGCGGAATCCTTGCCACAACATATCCTTGTATCCGTGCACAAGCAAGTCAACACAAAAAAGATATGAAAAAAGGCCCTCAGCCCCTCACCACTTGTCATCAATTCTCATGACTTTTCCACAAAATATATGATCACCCCCAATTTTAGCAGCTCACACTTTCTTTTCATCCACAATGACGCCAGAAGACTCCAAAAATATGTTTAAAAATTGAAACGTGAAGAAAAGCCACAAAGCTTTCAGAAGCATGGCGACAGGTTAGTGACCTACTAGTGTCGTCCATTGTGTGAAAGTGAAGGAAAGGAAATGCAGAAAAAATGCATGGAACCATGGAATGTATTCATGCGTGGTACCCACCATATATAGCAGATATGCAGTGTGACCTAACCAAGACAGCCAAATGGGATTGCATAATAATGCAATTTGGCTATCCTAAACGCCATCGTTAAATCACCAGAGGGAGTAGTTATCTGAACTTTTCATCTTTTATATATCATGGTTAATATTTGTCCGTTGGCTCAGTTTAACATTAGAGATCAGGTACAGAATGATAGACATCCTTTTGGCACTGAATCACGGTGTTTCCTTCATGCAGACCCGACACTATTCATCAGTGCTTGAATCTTGATCCTACTGTGCGTAGTAATGTACTATCATGATTGCAACAGTACACATGGATGGCCCGGGCCAGCATACATGATGATAATGGAGGATCTGCTCATTCTCCAAACTGCTAATCCCTCCTATACTACGCGCTAAGTCGCTATCTTAACAGGATAGGACTATAAAGTAGAAATCATAGCCAAAAAAAAAAAAAATCTTACTAGCACTATATACTACTACCCAAAAAGTAGTGCAATATATTTTAAAATTGAAACTCTGGCATTTACATAAAACGACGAGAGTGTCTAATAGACTGATCGGTTGATGGTCAAAATCTGGTTGTCAAAACATGGACAAGCCAAGATTTTAGCTTCCGTTTGGTTTCCTACCAAAATTTATCAATTTCTCATTTTTGCCATGCTGAATCTATGGTAAATATTTTTGTCTAAGTTTTAGCAAATTTTGCTTGCCAAGCCTTTTCGTAAATTTTGGTAGTCAACCAAGCAGTTCTTAAATTCAAATCGTCAACGCTACTCTACAACCTCTAACAATAGAGTTAGCTAGCTACGGATCCTTCCATGGTTCCGCTCGCCCTAATCGTCGTACCGCGGTCCTCGAAAACCACCCATGCATCTTTGATAATAATTCAAAGGTTAGACACGTCTAACCAATTTTTCGACTCACGGGAGTGCATGACCCACGTGTTAGCAAGAAAAGGATAAGAGCGTGATCCTGGTGCGAACTGAATATGAGCCACATATATACTTCATTTCGTCCCAAAAAGATCAACATCTAAACTTATCCTAAGTCAGACATGTTTATGTTTGGCCTTTTTTCTAAAAAGATCAAGCACCAATGTTTATGACACCAAATTCCTATTATTAATTAATTAATACATCATAAGATATATTTTTCACAATATGTTTGTTTGATGTTATACATGTTGTTATGTTTTTATACGGTCAATCAAACTTGAAATAGTTTGACTAAAAGATAGCCCTAGAAGTTAATTTATTTTGAGATCTATGGAGTAAAAATTCCTTTGGACTTGAAATAGTTTGACGAAAAGATAGCTCTAGAAGTTAATTTATTTTGGGATCTATGGAGTAAAAAAATAGAATTGCACTTTTGCCCACACAAACCCTATATAGGATCTGTTTGATTCAAGAGCTAATGCTAGCTAGCAATAAATTAGCTCTAGAGCATCCAAACAGGAGAGCTAATGGGTGGACTAATTTATTAGCCAAGTCTTCAACTAGTTGTAACTAACTAGCTAACCATAATTAATTTGAAGTAATATTTAGACTCAACTAGTAACTAGTACTAAGTAATTTTTGCTCTTGAAGATTGCCCGGCGTGTGGGGGTGCTTGAGTTACTCTTGTCACCATCCGCGAAATAAATTCAGTGAGAGAGCTGGAAGAGGGAGAACGACCTCCCTCCATCGGCGCCGGTGACGTACACGTAGTCACGTACGGGCCGGGGTGGTGGTGGGCCGCCGTCGCCGTGGGCGGCGAGTTCGCCGCCGCATTTACTGCATGGACCGCTTCGGCGCGTTAACTTCTGGTGGCCTGCGCGGTGCGCGCGATGCATGAGCTCGCTCCTTGCTGTTGGTTCTTGGACGGCAACGGCGAGCACGAGATCGATGGACCCGCGACAGTATCGATCGATCTCAGTGAGATTTGGCTTGGAAATGCAGCAAGCGATGCGGTTCTTCCTTCCCCTGCTGACAAGGCACAGGTAGGCAGGCAGCTAGCTTGCATTGCATGGTGTTAGTTGTTGGCCCGACGTGCCCACGTCTCATGTGCAGGCGAGAGCGAGTTTAATTGGGTTGCTCACCTGTGCAATGGAAACACGTGTGCTAATTCAGTCCCCGGGTTAGGATGATATTAGCTAATGATGAAAATGAGAGCAGGTGAGAAGATTATGCGGCCATTTATGAAATTACAACTTGCAGCGTACTGGAACTCTGGAAGGAGTCACGCCGAAGCTGGCGGCTGTACTGACAAAGAATGGGACTTGCATTAAGCTGGAGTCTATAGTCTGCTGTTGCTTGCAGTTGCAGCAGTACTCAGGGCGGGCTAGCTATATGCATCGGCCAGATTTGACATGCACGAGTGACTTGAAGCAAAAAGCCAGCTCCATCATCTCGCAGGCGCGGCGGCGATGACCACGACCTGCCCTGTCCTACTCTTGCACGCACGCCAACAGCACACCAACGCACTGCCGGCTGCCGGCATGACTGCATACCGGAGGGAGGTGAGCGACTGGCTGATCGGCCGACCGGCCGGCCATCCGCACAGGCTTTCGTCTTAATGAAACACGGCCTGTAAACTCCGTTCGTAAAAAAAAAACTAATTGTACAGTTGGATGGTGGTGGTAGCTAGCCAACATTCATGTGCACAGCGAGGCAGCACGGACAACGCCGATCGAGACGGCAGTGGCATGCAAACGCGTGCATGCGGCGGATCCATCTCCATCCGGTGGTCGAGAAGCCAGCCAGCCAGCCAGGCAGTCGCCGCGCGCGGGCACGCACGGCACGGACAGTCCGGGCCGGCCGGGACGACAGCGTGGCATGCATTATTATCTGCGGCGGCGTCCGTCCGTGCCGCCTTGGATCGGAGCCGCGGCTTCAGATGAGAACGAGCGAGACGACATGCGTGTACAGCCTCTCCGATCCTGCACGTTGCTCCCACGTGCAGCTCGATCCATCAGGCCGTGCGTTGCCGGCGCCGGCCTTGCTTGTCCGCGACAGCAAGATCGCTCAGGTTGATCTCCAAAAGGATGGAACGTTCCGTGAACGCGTATACCATTTTTATATATATAGCGCCATGTTTACTCTCCTCATCTCAAATAAGTGCACATCTCACATGCATTTCGTGAAGTTAGCTAATTTTAAATTAAACTAAACTCATAGACAATAGTATCAACATTTAATTTATATATATCCAAATAGGTTTGTTATGAAAAACATATGACGTGATTAATCTTTTTTCCCTCTCGACAGATGTGATTAATCTATTTAATGATGCTTATTTGATATCATAAGTATATACCTTTTTAATATATATTTGGCCATCATTGAACGAAGCATTGCTCTGGTTAAGAAGGTGTGGGTTGCAAAGTCTCACTGGTTTTGGATGACAAAGGCCCAACGCCAAAAGCGTGTCATCCTTCCTCTCGGCTCGGCTATTCGGCCTAGATATAGATAGATGAGTCTTTCCCATGTATGTCATTAAAAAAGTTGAACGCTCACAGAGGGAATTGAAAAAAGTTTATCATTTCATATATGACCAGTGACCCCTGTGACTGCTCAACTTTTTTAATAGCACATATGGAATTGCAAACTTTTTTAATAGAACACAAGGAAAAGACTCTATTTCAAAATTTGAACTTGATAATCTTTGACCAGCGATTACTCCAATCATATGAAAATTTTTGTGCTACAAAAAATAGTTGCATTGTATTTGTATTACAAATACTATGAAATGCTAAAAGTTGCCACAAACGATATGTTATAAGAGGGATTAGTGGTTGAAGTGTGCCTTTAGAGACCGCGCCGAGAGGAACAATGACACGCTTTTGACGTTGGGCCTTTGTCATCCAAAACCAGTGAGACTTTGCAACCTACACCTGGATCAACGATCTGAACCAGAGCAATGCTTCATTCAATGATCGTGCCCAAGCTAACCTGGCCACCGGACCAAACATTTGAACAAGAGTAAGGACCCTCAGTACCGGGCCTGTTTTCAAAATCAGAGAGACTTTGCAACCTATAACCGGGAGCCAGAGCAATGATGTTTGTGCCCAAGGTAACTTGGCCACCAGACTAACCATCTAAACCAGAGTAAGGACCCTCGTTACCGGACTGGTTTTCAAAACTAGAGAGACTTTGCAACCTACAACCAGACCAATGCTCTGAACCACGGCAATGATGTTCACACCCAAGGTAACATAGCCACCAGACCAACCATCTGAACCAGAGTAAGGACCCTCGATGCTGGACCAGTTTTTGAAACCAATGAGACTTTGCAACCTACAACTGGACCAATGCTCTAAACCAGAGCAATGGTGTTTGTGCCCAAGGTAACCTGGCCACCGAACCAACCATCTGAACCAGAGTAAGGACCCGCGGTATCGTTCTTGTTTTCAAAACCAGAGAGACTTTGGAACATATAACTGGACCAACACTCTGAACCAGAGCAATGATGTTCGCACCCAAGGTAACCTGG